GTGCGCAGAAGTCATTAACTGTCTGGAGAGTCAATAGCTACAGACCTCCAAACTTCGTGTGGCCTTTAGATTGGCACAACAGTGTGTAGAGAGCGTCGTGGAATGGGTTTCCATGGCCGAGCAGCTGCATCCAAGCCTTACATCACCAAGTGCAATACATCACCAAGTGTCAGATGCAGTGGTGTAAAGCACACAGATGGACGTGTCTGGGTTTGGCGGTTGCCAGGAGAACGGTACTTGCCTGACTGCATTGTGCCAAGTGTAAAGTTTTTGGTGGAGGGGGGATTATGGTGTGGGTTGTTTTTCAGGGGTTGGGCTTGGCCCCTTAGTTCCAGTGAAGGGAACTCTTAAGGCATCAGCATACCAAGACATTTTGGCTCTTTCCTGTTCCAACATGATTGCCCACTCGTGCACAAAGCAAGGTCCATAAAGATGTGGAGGAACTTGACTGGCCTGCACAGAGTCATGAGCTCAACCCGATAGAACTCCTTTGGGATGAATTAGAGCGGAGACTGCAAGCCAGGCCTTCTCGTCCAACATCAGTACCTGACCTTACAAATGCGCTTCTGGAAGAATGGTCAAACATTCCCATAGACACATTCCTAAACCTTGTGGACGCCTTCCCAGATGAGTTGAAGCTGTTCTAGCGGCAAAGGGTGGGCCAACTCAATATTGAACCCTACGGACTAAGACTGGCATGCCATTAAAGTTCATGTGCATGTAAAGGCAGGTGTCCCAATACTTTTGGCGTCATAGTAGATTTTATGAACTAATTTCTGTTGATTGTTGACAATGCAACTTATGCTCGTCAACATTCTAGGGCTTCTTTACACAATGTCGATTTGAGCTGTGTTTATTCTCCACACCACCACAATGGTTCTTTATATGCCCTGTTCACATCATACACATGCAGTGGTGTGCATTGAAAAATGCAACTTTAATATGTACTAAGAATGTTGGCAATGTTTATAACAATCAGACTTGTGTGATCTGTAGACTCTAGCAGCAAGTTGGAATACCTAATCGATGGAGGAGTGTAATAAATGTGAACCAGAAATATGAGGGATGTTGCTGATTTTAGGTACCCATAAATCATACCCATATCCCTTTCCTTAATGTACTAAAGGTCTTGCTTCACAGCTCAGTTTATTGGCAGGTATTTCAGTGTACACAGGAACTTAACTGCCTTCATTTGGTCACGTGACTGTCTGAGCCAGGGAGAATGATTACCGGATACATTCAAGTGTTTTTGTTAACATGTAGCATGCATCTTACAATGCTTGTTTTTCTTTTCTCGATCAGGAAGGGTGTAGATGCAGTTTACAAAGACTGTAATTTTGATTAGTTGCAAACTTCAGCCCAATAATGGGTAAGGTCCAAATCTCTCCGAGGCTTAACTCTGTCACCATTTTGGAACGTTCCCTCATTTCCTTTTTGGAACATGGAGTGAAGTGTGTACACTGCATGGCACATGTGCCCTACAGTGAACACTGAAAACAAAGAAATCCATGGGGGAGAAAACATTTTTTTTTTGGTAGAAGATGCTTATCATGCAGGCTTTCTTCTGAATGTCTCCTTCCAAAAGCACTACCTACAATCCTTTTTTATATATATTTCTTTGACTTTTTATTTCTGCTTTTAATGTACATACTATATTCAAAATTAAGAAAAAAGTAGGTGGTCTAGTTTAGGCTCTGTATTTTCAGCCATCATAGTCAAAAGGAAACAATATTTGCAATTTCCTTCACAATCATGTTTTACTAACAATGTTTGTGCAACTCAAGATATGTATTCCATCTTTTTTTTCCCCCCATACAGTTTTGGTAATCCCACTGTAGCCACCTATTTTCACAGACAAGGGCTTGTTCACACCAAATGCAGACCAGATCTGCATGAGTTTCTGCACACGCAGTGCAGTGGGTTGTGCTGTGTTTTTGGCCTGTGTTTTTAAGCGTGCCGGGCCGTTTTTGGTAAAACAAAAAACATATTTGTTTAAAATGGGCTTTCAGTGTGTTCCAGGGTGTTTGCATGTAGTTTTTATGCATTTGCATGCGTTTCAGAGCAGGTAAAATAGGGCTTGCTGCAGTTTTTTTTTTTACATGCTCTGGAACTGAACACTGCAGTGTGAACTAGAGCCCAAAATACCATTGGAATACATTGGATGCAGTTTTGATCCGGTCTGTACCTGCCCTGCTCCTGGAACGTGCTTTGGTGTGAACAAGGCTTAATACATTCATTAAGCATCTAATGGTAGGGCTCAGAGCTTTTTCTTATGTAGTAATATTACTATTTGGCATTTCTACTGGGTTCTGGCAGCAGAAGGTGTTTGTTCTCCATACTTTCCATTTATTTGCAGGAAAGCAGAAGCTGAAATGTGAAGTTGCATTGTGTGGTTTATTATGCATTGTATGCATAATAAAGAGATCACAGCAGTGTGCTATATTCCTGATTGCTGTTTTATACCTTGCTGAAGATATTTACCTCCCTTCCTGTTGAAGTGCCTGCAATGGAAGCTATGATAAATGTCACTAGAGTTGTCATAGATTGTCATCAGGGTTGTCTTGCAGTCATAACTGTTTTCCATGCAATCAAAAATGTAAAAAAAAAAAAGTAAAACTCAGTTTCTTTAGTGAGAACTCTGTGGCACTTCATGGGCTACATTCATTGGCCTGTATTTTATGAATGCTTGTTCTGGTGTGGGGTAACAGTGTGATGTCTAGAGGAGATCCGTATCTACTCTGTGAATAGCAGTTATAAGTGCATTTGATCCTTATTGGGACACTTGTTTTCGCTCACTGTTAACTAGAAGGGTGGAGAGTATTAGCAATAAAGCATCTGCAACGTGGCACCCTCTTCTGCCAAGCCAAAAGCTCTGTTTGGAGTTGCCCTTAAACTGCTATCCTGAATGCCAATCTCAAAATGGTAGAGTGTTTTAGTATTAGTGTGCTGCCAAAACTTTTTTTTTAGCTTTGGAGAGAGCTACAGAGGGTTAGTTGCCTTGTCAGTATATGTTTTATACTGCTTAGATTCAGATGCTGGAAGATCTGAAATGTTTAAAGCTTTACAAAGGCATCTAAGGAATTGCAAAACTTGCATCCTTAAAGTGGCAGTACGCTGCTCAAAAAAGAAGGGGCCCATGCACACTGTCAGCTATAGTGTGCTATTATGCACAACATATTTGCACTTTGACAGACTATCCTACAGAAGTGCTCCCTTCCAGCCCCCAGTGTGTCTGACTCCTGCCGGTCTGGGACTGCACTGAGCTGCACATGCATGGCAGAAACCTCTATGATAGATGAGACTTTATCTCCTCTGTCACTTGGCCCCCCACTTTAATAGAACTTTTAGTTTGGTGATAGAGTAAGGCCCCTTTCACATGGGCTGAGCAGGATAGGATCTGTGCACATATCCTCTTCTGATCAGAGCAGTACAGAGTGCATGTGTCTACTGTGACATCTGTGTTTGTACAGTTTTTCTTCCTCCATCTTATGAAGAAGGATAAAAAAAATAAAAATACAATTACCTGACCCCATGTCTGTCTATGGGGAATCAGATGTAAATGGGGCATGTGTCCGTTTATATATCTGATTACGCCCTGGTCCAGCGAAATGGAATTCTGTTCTGTTTTACCAGACCCGGCCACAGGAGGAGGTAGGGGTAACCAGGTGTATTCGGATACCAGTAATCTGCCTAAACAACTGCATGCTCCTTAGGCAAAAGACGTGCGACCGTACAGTAAAAACGGTTGCACGTCTTCCATACACTTTGCGATTATCGTGGGATGTCCCGCGATTATCGTGCGATAAGGTGCCCATACACTGTGCGATTAAGGAAGGGTTATAACTGCTGTCAGTTTTTAGTTTGTTTACTAATCTCCTCCTTTGACCCAAAGTTGGCAGATAGTGAGCTACTGCCTGTTATCTGCAGAGCTGTGTTGCAGCCTGGAAGTATCCCAACAATGTTGTTGGGATCCTCCCTGCTGCCTGATTGACAACTAGTTTTGCCTCTCTAGAGCCAGCTGTGCCTGGCCCCTTCCCTCCCTCCAATGAGCGCTGGAGGAACAGAGAGGGGGCAATCCATATGAGAACTCTGCAGGGGAGACCATGACATGAGTGATCAGAGGTTTATGGTTTGTTCAGCTCTCGATCTATAGAGATGGCATGTGACAAATGCAGTGTCACAGGCTGACTCTTAAAGGAGAACTATGGCATAAGTGATTTACACACTCCTCATACTTAAAGCCGACGTGTGACATGGAAATTGTTACATGTTGACGCTATAGATCGGGAAGTGAGTGAACACTGCTCTCGCTTGCTTCAGGATCATCTCCCTGCAGCGAGTGGTGATTGTCAGTACCTGCATGGAACTCCCGTCACCCTGAAGAGAACTATAGGATAAAAATGTTAACCCATAGTTCTCTTGGTTTAAGAGTACGTTTTACTCTTTCAATACTTCTTTAAACTCCAAACTTTGCACAGTTGTCATCAGAACAGAGGTGATCCCTGCTGTGGTGCTACCTTTCTGCCAGAGGAACTGCCGTTTACTTTCCATTAGGTCTACATGATAGAAAATGCGTGAAATGTCTCTAATCAAAGTATAAACTGGAAAAACGGTCTGGCTATGCATGCAAAATGGTCTATGCTCGACATAGTGGCTATGTATGGAGCATGTCATTTGCACATGCCAATGGTTAACAAGATAGTTCTAACAACTGCTTAGGCCAGCTGGGTAAGCATGCCTAACGGCATTTTCTATTAAAGCTATCTTCTGTAATTCGCCGGGAAAAATCCGTTAAAACTGCACTTGATGGCAAGTAGGTATCGATGCCACGGTTAGGACGCTCGAATTCAAACGCGCATATGCCATTTGTACGCACATACTGTTATTTCAATAAAGTTTGTTGCAGGAAAAAAAAACGACGCTTTGCTATTGGCTGCGCGGCTCAAGTCCCGGCACGCATGCGCGGGCATGCTGGAGGCTTAGGAACACAGGCAGCAGCTGCAGCCAGGCGACCAGGCTAGTTTGTATACCGGGGCAGAAAACAGGCTGGGTGCATGGGATGGAAGCTGGACCTTCTACACCAGGTAAGCAATGCTCGGGGGCTCCTCCAGTTTGCAGGAGAAAGGGAAGAGGTGCTGAACCTGGGGAGGAGGAGGGAAAAGAGGTACTGTCTCTTCCAGACTGCAGCTAATGGTGATGGAGAGACCCCCTAAAGAAATGCAAATTGGGAAATGCGTTTGATGCCAAAGGGGAGGGAGGGAGGGAATGCTTATTTTTAAACAAGGTTGTAGGGAAGGATGTGAGTGGTCCATGGTATCATTCAGGAGGGAGGACACAGGAACCTGTTCTTAGTGCAGCTGGGAAAACTTCTAAGAACTGTCTTGTGGAGAAAACTTCACTGGAGGGGAACCACTACATGTTCGACTGCATAGCAGGCGACACTTTGCTGAATCGTCCTTCTCAGCCGTCTAACAATTGTTCTAAAGGACTACGATGCACTTTGATAACGTTCTGGTGTGCATTTAAAGGACCATTGTTGCAAAGCTGGATGTGGTTAACACTTTGTACTGTGGATATAATTTTTTTATATTTTTTTACATTTCTGTAGTTATGGCATGTGTCTAAAAAAATGTTTTTTTTTCTTTATGCAATAAAAATCCTAAATAAAGGTGACTGGTCTAGGTGCTCGTGGCTTGTTATAGTTTGTCCCAACCCCTGTAACTTTCACTTTTGCATGTAAATGTGCAGAAAACCAGAAATATGCATGTGGAAAAAAAGGAATTTATATACTGAATGCTATAAGTATTAAAGTGACACTAAACTTAAGAGTTAAATCTTAAAAATGCATTCAAGTACCCTAACTATTGACAAAAATGTATTTTATTTGTACATTGCTCACATGTAGATCCTCAATTCATCTCTGAATTGGTGCTGCCACTTTTCTTCCTTCTGGAGGGTGGCTACTTTTGTTCCCCATAGTTGGATTATAATCTCAATACAAATGAGTAAACTAAACATGAGATTGTAGTCCATCATTGGGGTGAGCTCTGAGAGGTGGCTACTTCACAACATACGCAGGGACCATGGGACAAAAGTAGCCACCCTCCAGAAGGAAGGACAGTGTCAGCATGAATTCAGAGATGATTTGATGATCTACAGCTGAGTGATACACAAATAACATACATTTTGGTTAATAGTTAAGAATGCATTCAAGTACCTTAAGATTTTATGTCTGATTTTAGTGTCCTTTTTAAAGTAGACATAATCACTGAAATCTACTACAAGCTTTAACATGTAATTTTAAAAGTTGTTGGTTTCAGTCTTTTTAAATATTCAGCTTTCATAAAGCTAGTGGACCAGCCATAAAGATTCTTGTTCAGGTACTTGCTGTTATGGTGCCTCGTAACTGTGCTCCTGTGCTGTCATAGTGGATGGAGGCTATAAGTGCCCGTGCTGTCAGTTTGTGAACGCATGGTCCACCATTGTCATTTTTTAGGAAGCTAGTAAAGAGCAATTATCTCTAGCTGATGCTGGAGCAAGTACATGTAGATAGAAAGCGGCTGCAAAGAGACTGCAAGAAATCAGCAGTACTGAAGTGCAACAAAAAAAAGGTGACAATGGGGTCTTCTAAAAAAAAAAAGAGCAGCTGTTGTTAAAGTGTTTAAATACTGGACTGTCAGCCGAAAATCTGGGTCTGAACGTGCGAATTGTGGCCGTCAGCGACTAGTCAATGTTAGGGCAGAACGGAGAGTGGCAAGACTGGTACAAGACAACAGAAGTGCAACAGTGCTGTGTCAGATTCCTTGCATCACCTTTCAACATCTCGTGGAGTCACGAGGTGGCCCAACTAAGTACTAATGGGGTGGTCATAATAATCTGGCCACTCAGTGTATATTGCTGTAGTAAATGAAATGTCATCCAGTTAGAGTTAAGAACACCTACATTTTGTACAGATGCATTAAAAAAAAATAAAAAATAGTGCAATTCTTTGTTTAAAAACTTACTTGTTGCTCCAGGATGCAAATTAATGAATGGAGGAAAAAGGCAGTAGAAGAGGGGGCTGGTCATATAACTGGCCTCTCCTCCATTTACAGTGTTCACTTTCAAGATCATGCAGAGAAAACTCTTTAGGACACTGCAAGCGCCACATACTGGGTTACATTTTATGAATGACAAAAAAAAAAAAAAAAAAATGCTTTGCAATGTGGAATAAACACTGCGAAGTCCAACAACGAATAAATAGCAATTTTTGTCCTCTTTAAATGGTCTCCCTTGTCGCTGTGTGGAGGTTTCTACCTCAGTAGAAGAGCAACGCTTATTGTTCAGGAGGAATTTAAGGCAAACTGTAAATTTATCAGGGTACTGTGTAGGAACAATTGATATTTGTAGATGTTCCCTATGATGCAGCAGTGCTCTTGGTTGGGATCTCGGTTACAATGACTGTTCCTTGTTGGAATCTCATGGTTACAGTCAGCTCTTAGGCCTTGTTCACACCAAGCGCGTTAATGGAACAGAGCAGTTACAGACCGGAGCAAAACTGCGTCCAATGTATTCCAATAGTATTTTTAGCTCCAGTTCACATCGCAGCCTTCCGTTCCAGAGCAGGTAAAAAAAAACTGCAGCAGGCCCTATTTTACCTGCTCTGGAATGCATGCAAACGTATCAAAAATGCATGCGAACGCACTAAAAGCCCATTTTAACCAAAAATAATTATTTTTTTTAATCCAAAAATGGCCCAGAACGCATAAAAAATGCGGCACAACCTACTGCACTGCGTGTGCAGAAACTCATGCAGATCTGCTCTGCATTTGGTGTGAACAAGGCCTTAGTTGGGATGTCTGTCTCATCTAGCATAACGCTTCTGCATTTGTACACAGAGATGTAAATGAAATGTTCCCTAGGATTTAAAGCAATGTGTCAGGAAAAGTCACTGCAAGCCCTTACAAATAACAGCTCAAATTCAAATATTCTCAGCTTCATGAATATGCTTCTACAAATTGTCGTCCTTTATACAATTATCATGACCATCTTAGTACAATGTTTTTGTTTATCAAAAAAGGTTATATGGAAGTTCCATTGGGAAATCAAATAAATAGCAAAAGTAATCTAAAATTTTCTACAGAAATTCCAGCGTTCATAAACATAAATAAAACAGGCTGATTGATGGCTTAGCAATAGTCTTTCCCACCAGCATTCACTAAACAGGTGTATTGTCTCTTGGCAGCAATCCCCATTGTGCTTTTGTCAGAAATAAATTTTTTTGAATTGGTCGTCATCTGGAAGTTCTCACAAACTGTGCCGTGAATTCATTTGTGAAAGGATGTCCTGCATTCACATTCATGCACATTTCATTTGTGACCAAGACCAAAAAATATGGAATGACTTCCAATTGAGACTCTTGTAAGGAAAATTGGCTCGAAGGCCTGGTTCACACCTGGGCGTTTTGCAGCGCGTTCCTACACGCTGTAAAACGCTCAACATGTGAAAACCAATGATTGCCTATGGGCATGGTTCCCACCTGGGCATTTTACAGCGCGTAGGAACGTGCTGCAAAACGCCCTACGCCCAAAGAAGTACAGGAGCTTCTTTGGGGCGTTTTGCCGCGCATTGCCATTGGTATTCCCGAGTGTGGATCGGGGTTAACAAAGCGGTAACCCCGAGCCACACTCGGGAATACAGC